TAGAGTGGAAAGGGAGAGAGAGAGAGAGAGAAACATCGAAGTGAAAGGGACACATCGAGTGGCTGCCACCCGCACAACCCAACCAGGGCCGGGGACAAACTGCAATCGAGGTACGCGCCCTTAGCAGGAACCAAACCCGGGTCTCTTGGGACCGCAGGCCGACGCTCTACCGTTGAGCCAAACCAGCCAGGGCAAGAAATCCACAGCATTCTTATACACCAATGATGAATTCACAGAAAGAAACCTAAAAAAAATCCCATTTACCATCACAGCAAAACAATTAAGATACCTAGGAATAAACTTAACCAAAGAAGTAAAGGATCTATTTGCAGAAAACTACAGGACATTGAAAAAAGAAATAGAAGAAGATATAAAAAAGTGGAAGCACATACGTTGTTCATGGATTGGAAGAATTAACATCATTAAAATGTCCATATTACCCAAAGAAATCTATAAATTCAATGCAATCCCCATCAAAATACCAACATATTTCACAGAACTAGAACAAATACTTCAAAAGTTCATATGGAACCAAAAAAGACCCTGAATAGCCACAGCAATCTCGAAAAAGAAGGACAAAGTCGGTGGGATCACAATACCAGATATCAGGTTATACTATACAAAGCCCCTGTAATCAAAACAGCCTGGTACTGGCACAAGAACAGGCATATAGCCCTGGCCGGTTTGGCTCAGCGGTTAGAGCATCCACCTGCGGTCCGGAGAGACCCGGGTTCGGTTCCCGCTAAGGGCATGTACCTCGGTTGCAGTTTGTCCCCGGCCCTGGTTGGTCGTGCGGGTGGCAGCCACTCGATGTGTCCCTTTCACATCGATGTTTCCCTCTCTCTCTCTCCCTCTCTCTCCCTCCCACACTATCTGTGCAAAAAATGGAAAAATGTCCTTGGGTGAGGATTAAAAAAAAAAAAAAAAAAGAACAGGCATATAGACCAGTGGAACAGAACAGAGAACCCAGAAATGGACCCAAGACATTATGTTCAATTAATATTTGACAAAGGTGGCAAGAGCATACAGTGGAGTAAAGACAGCCTCTTTAATAAATGGTGTTAGGAAAATTGGACAGCTACATGCAAAAAAAATGAAACTAGACTATCAACTTACACCATACACAAGAATAAACTCAAAATGGATAAAAGACTTAAATGTGACCTGTGAATCCATAAAAATCCTAGAAGAAAATGTAGGCAACAAAATTTCAGACATCATACGCAGCAGAATTTTCACTGATATATCACCTAAGGCAACAGAAGCAAAGGAAATTATGAACATACAGGACTACATCAAACTCAAAAGCTTCTGCGCAGCAAAAGAAACAACCATCTAAATGGAAAGGGAACCCATTGTATGGGAGAACGTCATTGCCAATGATACATCAGATAAAAGGTTAATTTCCAAAATATCTAGAGTACTCATACAACTCAATAAAAGGAAGACAAAGAATCGACAATTTGTTTAATTTGTGCCATTTAAAAAATGGGCAGAGGACCTAAATAGACACCTCTCCACACAGGACATACAAATGGCCAAGAGACATATGAAGAAATGCTCAACATCACTAATCATCAGAGAGATGGAAATTAAAACAACAGTGAGCTATCACCTCACACCTGTCAGAATGGCCGCCATCAACAAATCATCAAACAACAAGTGTTGGCGAGGGTGTGGAGAAAAGGGGACTCTAGTACACTGCTGCTGGTAGGAATGCAGACTGGTGCAGCCACTATGGAAAACAATATGGTGTTACCTCAAAATATTAAAAATTGAATTGCCATTTGACCCAGTTATCCCACTTCCAGGAATATACCCTAAGAAGCCTGAAACACCAATCAGAAAGAACATATGTACTCCTATGTTCATAGCAGCACTATTTACAATAGCTAAGATCTGGAAACAGCCCAAGTGTCCATCTGTAGACAAATGGATAAAAAAGCAGTGGTACATATACACAATGGAGTACTATACAGCTGTAAGAAAGAAAGATCTCTTATCCTTTGAGACGACATGAAGGGACCTGGAAAGTATTATCCTAAGCAAAACAAGCCAATCAGAGAAAGACAAATATCACATGATCTCACTTATTTGTGGAATATAATGAACCTAACAGTCTGAGGAACAGGGTAGACCCAGAGATGTGGAAGAAGAGGTGGGCGGGGGGGAAGAGATAAACCACAGAATTTATATGCATGTATGGACATGGACAACAAAGCTGGGGACGGAGTGGGGGGGGGATGAGGAGGAGGGTGTCAACTGGGAGAAAAGGAGAAACATCTGTAACAAAAATAAATAAGGAAGCACTCTTCTTTTAAAAAATTAAATAAATAAATAAATATAAATAAAGTCTATGGAGACTTGTTTGATGGCCCACCATATGGCCTCTCTTAGTAAACATATCATGTGCACTTGCAAACTTGCAAAAAAAAAAAAATGTGTATTATGCAATGTTTGAGTGTGGTGTTTTGATGTTGATTAAGTCAAGATAGTTGATAGTGTTGTTTATATCTTCTATATTCATACTGATATTTTGTCTGTTCTATCAGTTTCTGAGAGGTGTGTCAGACTTGCCAAATGTGATTTAGTGGGATTTGGCTAATTCTCTCTTTAATTCTGTCAGTTTTTGCTTCCTCTACTTGTGGCTCTATTATTAGGCATATACACATTTATAATGTTATATCATCCAGATGTTTGGCCCCTTTATCATTATGAAATGTCCTTTTATTCTCTAGTAATACCCCTTGTCTTGAAGCCTATTTTATCTGATATTAAGATAGCCACTCATATTTTTTATGTTTATTGTTGCATGGTATATTTTCTTAAATCCTTCAACTTACATGTGACTTTGTTTTTAAGCTGTCTCTCTTGTATACAGCATGTAATTGGATCTTGTTTTTTTATCCAGTCTGAAAGTTTATGCTTTGTAATTTGCATGTTAGTATAATTATTGATACAGCTTGATTTAGATTTACTATTCTGTTTTCTTCTTGTCCCATCTGTTTGTCCCACCTGGGATTGTTCCTCTGTTCTTTCACTGCTGCCTTCTCTTGGTCTAATGCATTATTTTAAAATTCCATTTTAACTTATCAATTGGCTTCCTGGTTATACCTCTTTGTTTGAATTTTAGTATTTTCTCTAGGAATTAAATTATATATCCTTAATATTTCACAGTCCCATTGTATCACCACCTCATATAAAATATTAGAATCTTGCAACTATATAGAAAAAGACTTTCTCCCCATTTTTCTCACATATAAAATGAAAGTCAATGGAAAATATTTGACTAAAATTTACTTTTAAGGAACACTTTTATGTAAATATGGTGATGTACACATGTACTCTAGAATACTGTAAATCTAGTATTCTGCTAGGAATATATTAGTATTTTTATCAGAACCCTTACCAACTAGATGTAACTTGATTATATGCATATTAGGAATATTCTAGAAGTTGTTTTCATCTACCAATTTTCTATTTTCTTTAATCATTATTAAGTAAACTTCATTCAATTTAGAAAAACAAACGCATTATTTTTTATTTATCCTTGTGCTTCAGTTTGTCCTTTTACTCAACCAGCACTGATTGAACACTTCCTGTTCTAACAAGGTCTCCTCAAGGAGCCTGTTTTCAGGTGGGGATGGGAGTGGGGACTTGTAATACATGAGATGAAGTGTTATAGTTATTCATAGGGCTCCAAATGGGATATGGTAATACAGACAATATAATAGGATGCAGGGAGGAAAGAAAGAAAAAAATACAGAGAAGGCGATACTTGAATTGAGTTTTAAAAAATGAGAAAATTTGGAAATGAGAGGGTTGGGGAAAAAATGGAATTCCTAGAAGATAGTGATATGAGTTTCTTAAATTGTCTAACTGGTATACTAGCAGTGTTTTTGCCCGGGCTGGCCTCCAACTATGGATGAAAATGGAAAGGAAGGCTTTTAGAGTATAAAAAAATTTACTTTTCATCAATAACTCAGAGCCTGAAAGTGATGATGCTAGCACATGAAAGTGCATTATAAGGTATGTTTTGATGTACATTGTGAAACACCTGATAGTGAATTACACAATTCCTGTATCCTTTTCTCTTTTGGGATCTTCAAATGATATAATCTTGTTTTTGTCCTCTCTCACCTAGTTATGCTTCTAATTTCATGAGCTCTCTCTCTTAGAAGTAATTTTCTTTCTTTCCATATTCAACTTCAGATGAAACTATTTGAGAACAAGTCCTAACACCGAGTGTTGATAACATTGTGTACCTAGAAATTTGGACCGGGCTCATAATTCACAGATTCAAGAGATGTTCCTATATCTGACCCATCTTAAATTGCATTTTCTTATAAGTCCTCCAGTTCCTTCTATTTGTAATAAATATTATTAATCTGTTGTGGTCCAAGTACTTTGTTATATTCTAGGTATTTTGGTGATTTTAATGAATAAAATGGACAAAGATTCCCTGACCGGAATGGACTTACATTTTAGAAATCATCACAGCAGCTCTGAAAGATTGCTTCTTTTCTCTTATGTAGACAAGGAATTTATTAAAATCAAACTGCTACCTACAGTAGTGATTTTCTTTCGTGGGGTTTGTTGAGATGCTGGGACAAGAAGACATTTTTTATTTCAGGAGAAAATGATTATTTTGTGTCTGGGGATTCTATAAGGATAGATCAGTATGATATGGAAAATTTTCTCTAAAAATATAGTTGTTTCAGAGACAGATAAGTAGGTGAAGGGAAAGTGATTTCAAGACAAGTTGTTTGAAGCTTTCCTTTCCTTGTGCTTCAGTGAGGAGAGAGAAGGCAGCCATTGAATGACTAAGGCATCAATTATAGTGTGGGTATACTTCAAAGAGGGAAGCTAGAAGTACTGTAAAAAAGAGAAACAACTAAATAGGAGAGAATTCTGTTATGGCATAATTTTTTTTTAAGTTATTAAAATTGCAACATTTGAAATAGAGTGTTTTCAGTTTTATTCTTTGATTTATTTTACAGATGCTGTACCTACTCCCTCAGAAAACAAACCAACTCTGCAGACAAATGTGAGTTTAAACAAGAAATCAGACAGTACCATTACAAATACTATAACAGAAAACCCTTTGCAAATGCCTCTGGAGAAGCAGTCAGCTGCCAAAACTTTTGCAACATTGACAACTTTACCAGCATTTTGGTCATCGAGTAAAGAAGAGTCTATCAGAACAAATTTAAGAATATCCAAGTCAGATTCTACATTCTGTACTCAGGCCTCTGTAGAGACACTCTTTGTCTCTCCCTCATTCAAAACTGTTGACCCAGTGAAGGAAATTGTAATCAATAAGGACTCTCAGAAACCAGCCCAGCCCAGCATTGTTCAGAGGGATGATGAAAACCTCAAGACCTTAAGGACATGGGGTGAGTAAAAAAAAACAAAAAACACCATGAACAACAACAAAAAAACTCCTTTGAAGCATTCTTCATTTACTGTTCCCCTGTTTTGTTGCCTCTTTTTACTCCCCATCCAGTGGCATTAAAATGTACACACCATAGAGGAATTCCTCAATTGGAAAAGTGCCCTTTTATTAAAGGGCAAATAGGCAGTTAGTTCATCTTTGTGGGTTATAAGTGCTCTACTGAAGCACAGATTCTGAGCAATTTTGTTGGAGAACAAATGAAAAAGAACTGGCATTAAATAAGAGCTTCCTGTTAGACATTTAAGTTACTTATTAAGACATGAAAATGAATTGGTTATTGTGTATGTTAGTGTGTGTGCCCTTTTTTAAAGGGCTGTGTACTGATTGCAAAAAAGGGGTGAAGAATCTCTTCCTTTTTCTGTCTTATAAAACATTAAGAGAGTTGCGATAATGTTTAGACTAGATGATAAAGATAAAGCCAGTTAGGATTCTGTGTTGTTGGCTATCATTTGTTAAAGCCTGCAATTCATAATTGTACTTTATGTAAAGTTAATTAGTAAAAGAATAATTTGTTTGCTCGTGCATTTTCCAAAGAGTAAGCAGTTGTATTTGTTCTTATAATAATGCTTACTTTGGGGTGATAAACACACAATACAATATACAAATGATGTATTATAGAATTGCACACCTGAAACCTATATAATTTTATTAACTAATGTCACCCCAATAAATTCAATAAAATTTTTAAAAATAATGTTTACTGATGCATATAGATATAAAGCTTTTAAAATAAATTTTTTAAACTGCCCCAACCAGGTCAAAAGTACCATATAAATACAAACAGTAGAAGCCAATATATTGACATTAAAGAAATTTACCTTAGTGCTAGTAAGGTCAATGAATAAGAAAAGATTCTCCTTCCTGCCCTTTCTAGAATTTTTAGACTTGAATAACCTAAAAATAAAACTAATTCTTAGTTTTGTCACCAAATTAATTCTTGTGCTAAGATGCTGATGTGGAAACCAATTAACATGGTTATAATGGCTATGAGGGCTTCTGTGTATGGCTGTCCCCTGAGAAGTTGTTATTGTTGGCTCATTTCTTTCACAAATACCACAAAAAGATTGTTGAAAATCGTTTTTGGCCACTGCCTGTGTACCAAGTACACAAAATTGTGACAATTAGGTAGAGTTCTTCTAAAACCAGTTAGCAAGGAGAACTTTTGCTTGTACTTATAATGAAATTTATATTATTGGTCTAAGTCTCCACCAAAAATACTGGTTAAAGTGGGGAAAGTATTAAAAGCTGATTTGAAGTTGTTGTAAAACAATCAAGGTTGTGTCAAGATCCTAGGAAAAAGGACTATGATCTTTTGATACAGTAAGAAATATATATTTGGTCTTTTTCCTAGGTTCCTGGCACAGAGCTCCTAAAATCCTTTTAATTTCCAGTGTGATAGTAGTAAGAAGAGTACCTTTTTGTTATTCATAATTAGCCCCTTTTAATCATACCTGAGCTTATGTTAATAAAGTGACTCCTGGAGAGTGGGGGCTGCTTGCCAGATTAACCAATGAGGTGATTAGAGGATTGGAACTTTCAGTGCCACCCCCTGACCTCTGGAGAGAGGAGAAGGGCAAAAGGTTGAGTTAATCACCAATGGCCAATGATATGATCCATCATGCCTACATAATGGAACCCATATTCCCCTCTGTTTTCCACCTTTGGATTGTTTGCATATTAATAAACTGGGATGATAGAAGCTGAGGGAAAATTGGTGACCTGAGCTTTTTACTGTCTCACTGAGATTGGGAGATAGGCTGAGTTTGGGGCTTCCAAGGTGGGTGGCAGGGATTCAAGGGGCCAATATTCCAGAGGAGAAGAAATCACAGAGAAAAAGTCCAAATGTCTGCATAATTTCTTACTGAAACATTTGCCTACCGCTAAGCTATACATGTTCTGGATAAGATGCCAATAAACTAAATGGGTTTCTAAGAGGCCATCAAGCTAAACAGAGATTATGATGATCTTGTGGTGCTAGGAGACAGAGGTTGGAGTTCAGAATATGCTGAATTTTTTTTTTTTTTTTTTTTTTTTTTTATCCTCACCCAAGGACATTTTTCCTTTTTTTTTTGTTCAGGTAGAGTGGGAGGGAGAGAGAGGAACAGAGAGAGAGAGAGAAACATCGATGTGAAAGGAACACATCGAGTGGCTGCCACCCACACAACCGACCAGGGCCGGGGACAAACTGCAACCGAGGTACGTGCCCTTAGCGGGAACCGAACCCGGGTCTCTCTGGACCGCAGGCCGACGCTCTAACCGCTGAGCCAAACCGGCCAGGGCAGAATATGCTGAATTGTAGAGGCTCTGGTAAATACACCATGCTGTCAGTTGGGACCACTGACAAGCTACACCCTAGGCATCAGAAATATAGTCTAGGCATAAAGATGAACCAGAAGTAGCATAGCCCGTACACATGCTGAAACCCAGCTTTGACTAGAGCATGGCGATTGCCTTGTATTCCGTCTGTCTTCTCAAAGACGATGAGATCTTTTCTAAAGAACTGCTACTTTTTTTCATGCAAAATTTTTGGCATTCAACAAAAAATTACAAGGCATACCAGGAAATGAACAAATGACCAGAAATATAGGAGAGAAACAGACTACAGAAACAAACTCAGATTATCTAACTACTGCAGTTAAAAGAAAGATATTTCTAAATAATGATCATTAATATGATCAAGAAAAAAGAGGAGAAGATAGATCATTTTATCAGAATACTATCTATAAAAAATGAGTCAAATCAAAAGTCCAGAGCTGAAAAATGCAGTAGCTGAAATGAAGACCCAGTGGGTACTGTTCAGTCCATATGACCCGAGGTGTGGAAAGACAGTTCAGTGCTGTCAGAGAAACTTAAACATTATGAGAGAAATTCTAAAAGGGAGGGAAACTCAGAAAGGGTGAACTTCATATTCTGTTAATAAACTCTGTCCAAATCCTTGGCTGACTGCTAACCTCTACATGTAGGGGAAGACCCCAGAGAGTCTGGTGCAAAAAAAAAAAAGAGAGAGAGAGAGATAAAAAAAAGAGATGAGCACTGGAAAGTATAAATATGTAGGTAAATATAAAATACCATATATTTACTTTTATTCTAATTTTTAGAAATAGCATGACTATTTAAAGCAAAATGTTTAATACTGTATTTTGGGCTTTAAAACATATGTAGATGTGATCCATATCACAACACAGCACAAAGAATTGCTGAATTGTATAGTTGTTAATGGAACAGGTTCTAGAGTCAGAATGCCTGAGTTCATAGTCTTAGCTCAACCACTAATTGTGTGACCTTAGGCAAGGGCCTCGATCCTTCTGCATGTCAGTATCTCTGTCTATAGAGCAGGGGTAATGATGGCACTGCCACACAGAGCTGCTGTGGGGATCTGTGAGTAAACATGAAGTGCTTAGCGTGGAAGTTGGTACTCATAAGTGCCGTATCAACATTCGCTATTATTACTCCAATGTCCATATTTTTTTTGGGGGGGGGGTGTACATGCCCCTAACGGGAACTGAACCCAGGACTCTCTGGTCCACGGGTCGACGCTCCAACCGCTGAGCCAAACCGGCCAGGGCCAATGTCCATATTTTCAGTTCCATTTTTTTAACTGTAGGACCTCACCCCCTTCCTAACCCTCCAAATCCCCTCTGGTTGTTTCCAAAAATACCTAAGACTTTCTCATTTATTCTCAGGAGCAAGTAAACTACTATTCTTCCAGAAAGGGCATTCAGGTTGGGGGATAATACAGAGTTGTGGCTGAGCAAAGAAATTCTGTGGAGCTCCAATTTATTCTCCACAGAACAGCCAGAATGACCTGATGACTAATACACCCCACTTAAACCGTGGACTGCTCACCGTGTTCCTAAAAATCCAATAGCTTTCCAGGCCCTGTACAATCTAGCTTCTGCCTCTTTCAGCAGCCTGATGTTCTTTCCGTTTGTCAAATAAACCATGTGGCTTCACCACCTTGGGACTTTTGTTCCCTCTGCCTTCTAATCCACCCTTCCCTACTTTACTCTCACTTATCCTTTGGAGGTCAGCTCAAACATCACTCCTTCAACATTTCCTGACCTCTAGATTATTTCAAATCCCCCCAACTGTATGCTATCTTAGTATTCTATAATTATCCTGCCTAGCACTTATTGTCACTCTAATTAAATATAATTACATACACATTAAATTTTTTAATGTCTTTTCCCCTGAGTGGAATGTTAATTTCATGGGGGAAGGGACCATGTCTACCCTGTATATTATTATATCCTTAGTACCAACCACAGTGCCTTGCACTTAGGGGGCACTCAGTATTTAATAAGCAAACTAAAAGCAGCTTGGTAGGGAAGGAACAGAAAATGTTCCTGAAAAAGTAATAGAAGAAAACATTGGACAATTAAGTCGGGACAGATGAGAAGGAGCTACATATGCGAGGTTAAGTTTGGACTTATTTTGGAGACAAGGCAAGTCACTAAAGGTTTTAAGTCAGGTGAGTGGCTTTACCAATGTGTTTTAGAGAAATTACTCTGTTAGGAATGTGGAAGATTGGTTTGGAGGGGGTGAAACAGGAGGCAGCACTTCAGAGGCTATTGTAGGAAAGGAAACGGGGTGAGAGAGAGGAGACGCGAGGGCGAGGGAGATAGCCTGAGACGGAGCATGATCTGGGGGAGGTGGCCTAGAATCCAGAATAGAAAGGGAGTCACCTTAACCTGAGGGCCTGTGAGGAAGGAGGAGAAAGGATGTATCAGGTATGAGGGAAGGGTTGTGTTGATTTTAATAATTAAGATGTATTGAGCCTTTGGGTACCATATACTGTATGTTTTGGCCTCAGTATTTTACTGTCTGGTGTCACCTGTCAAGACTGAGGAGTTTGGAGAGTGAGGAGACGGCTGGGAAGGACTGGGAAAGATTTAGAAGTGCCACTCTAGAGAATGGAAGAGGGAACTGATAAGGCACTGA